TAAAAATGACTTATACATCAACATTATAATTCTACAAGATCTTATATCTGTCCATATGTTTACCTTTACTAGAGACCTCTATATTTTCATATGATTTTGTGTTGCTGTTTAGTTTCATTTCATTTCAAATTGAAGGATTCCCTTTAGCATTTACTATAGGGCAAATCTGGTGGTGATGAAATCCTGTAGCTTTTGTTTATCTGGGTAACATTTAAAAATTTTTTTAATCTGGGGAAGTCTTAATCACGCTTTCATTTTTGAAAAACAGTTTTGTTAGATATAGTATTCTTGGTTGACAGCTTTTTTTTTTTTGTACATTGAATATGTCACCCCACCCTCTTCTGACCTACAAGCTTTCTGCTGAGGCACCTGAGAGGTGATAATCTGAGAGGAGCTTCCTTGCACATGATCAGCCACTTTTGTCTTGCTGCTTTTAAGGTTCTCTTCATCTGTAACTTTTGACAGTTTGAATATAATGCATCATAATGTGAGCCTCTTTGGGTTTTTCACAGCTAAGGTTCACTGAGCTTCTTAAATTTGTATGTCCATTTATTTTCACAAATTTGAAAAGTTTTGGGCCATTATTTCTTCAGATACACTATCTTCTCATTCCTCTCCCTTCTCCTTCTGGGACTCTCATTATGCATATATTAATCCACTTGATTGTATCCATAAGTTCTTTGCCCCTCCTCAGTTTTCTTTATTCTTTTTTTTTTTTTTTTTTTTTTTTTTTTTTTTTTGCTCCTCTAGCTTGGTAGGTTCAAATAGGCATAACCTGTTTTTGCAAATAAAATTTGTTGGAACATGGCTACACCCATTCCTTTATGTATTGTTTGTTTGTTTTTAATGTCTATTATTTTGAGAGGGAGACATGAGGGGCAGAGAAAGACACAGAATCTGAAGAAGACTTCAGGCTCTCAGCTGTCAGTACAGAGCCTGACGTGGGGTTTGAACTCACGAACCGTGAGATCATGACCTGAGCCGAAGTCAGACGCTTAACCGACTGAGCCACCGAGGTGCCCCCATTCCTTTATGTATTGTAAAACCTTTTTGTACCTTTTGTATGACATTGGCAAAGTTGAGTAGTTGCAATTGTTTGTCACCCCACAACAGTAAGTATGGTCAGCAAACCCTAAAATATTTACTATCTGGCCCTTTACAGAAAAAGCTTCATAATCCCTGCCTAGAGCAGCATATCCTGTTTATGAAACAACAGAATATTTTTCATAGAGAGTAAGCACCCTAAGGATTCTGATTCTTTAATCCTCAAAGCAATGTCTTTTTATAAAAAATTTTTTCTAATGTTTATTTTTGACACAGAGAGAGACAGAGCATGAGCGGGGGAGAGGCAGAGAGAGAGGGAGACACAGAATCCGAAGCAGGTTCCAGGCTCTGAGCCATCAGCACAGAGCCTGGTGTGGAGCTTGAACTCACAGACCGCGAGATCATGACCTGAGCCGAAGTCAGACACTCAGCCGACTGAGCCACCCAGGTGCCCCTCAAAGCAATGTCTTATAAGAAGAAATGATTAAAGCACAGTGGAAAAGAAGAAAGAGTATCCTCTATACTTCTGCTGAACTCTGATCATCCCACAAGGTCCAGACAGTTGCTGACTCCAGGGTGATAGTTCCCTGGTCAGTAAGCCTGCTTTACTCTGCATTTGCCATCTTTGGGAACCCATCAGGCAGTTACAGAAAAGTCAAGCCATGCCATCTCAATCTGACATAGACCCACAGTCAAGAAAATCCTTGACTACTTCTCACTTTCATGACAAAAGCCCTTCAAAGAAATCAAGCTAGTTAAAACACGGCCACATTAAAAAACTCTCTCAAGGGGCACCTGGGTGGCTCAGTCAGTTAAGCATCTGGCTTTGGCTCAAGTTCATGAATTCAAGCCCTGTGTCAGGCTCTGTGCTGACAGCTCAGAGCCTGGAGCCTGCTTTGGATTCCATGTCTCCCTCTCTCTCTGCCCCTCCCACACTCACACTCTGTCTGCCTCTCTCTCTCTCAAAAATAAAACATTAGAAAAATTTTCAAATTTAAAAAAAATTAAAAAATACAAAATTCTCTTAAGACTTAAAGGGATTGACTGGGTTCAAAATGGCTTACAGGCCATATTGTCTAATTTTCTATGTTGGATACCTCCCTTTTATTGTATTCCCTTTTCTCATTTTCCATCCCATTTTCTCTTTATCTGAATGTGCTATTTTCCTCTTAATTATCCTCACCACTGCCTTTCCCCAACCAAATTCAATTCCTACATTTCAGTTTTCCCACATGTTGCATTAGTTTTTTTTTTTTCTACTCCCCTTCCCATCTCCAGACACAATTATAACAATTACTGAAATAGAAAAGAGAATACACAGGTTCTATTCTGGGGTTTGTCGATATTTAGCTTGGTATCTTAGGGATGTCTTTTTAGTCCGTGGGTGTTAGATTAACCTATGACTGAGTACGTTGATCCAGGATCTCTAAGACACATCAGAAGTATGTGGGTAAGGTAAAATGGAAACTACTTATTTCTCAGCAAGGAAAATAACAAGGAACAGGTGTTTCAGATGCTTTGTGTGCAACATTTCACAGCAATACACCAGATGTATATGGGCAGATTATCTGCCGAGCTGCCAAAAAGGGGCACAAAGACATCTCCATCAAGGACTACAACCCAGGCGCTAATCTCTTTTAGCCATGTTGCCAGACATGAATCCAGGGCCAAGAATCCTGGGTCTGATTTCACATCAACCACCATCCCTGTTTTCTAGGAAAATATATTCTGTAGGCCAAAAAGGAAATAATTTTATGTGGTATAATTATTTTATATAATATATTATTATGTGTCATATATTATATAATATAATATATAAAATGTAATTATGTAATGTAATACACAATGTTATATGCATTTTACTTCAATTCATAATATAATATACAAAATATTATAATTATATAACATATAATATCATGCATTTTACTTCAATTACTTTTTAAAAATTTTTTTTAATGTTTATTTATTTTTAAGAGAGAGAGAGAGAGAGTGTGAGCAGAGGAGGGGCAGAGAGAGAGGGAGACACAGAATCCAAAGTGGGCCCCAGGCTCTGAGCTGTCAGCACAGAGCCCGACTCAGGGCTTGAACTCATGAACAGTGAGATCATGACCTGAGCCGAAGTCGGATGCTTAAGCGACTGAGCCACCCAGGCGCCCTTTACTTCAATAACGTTTTATTAGTTTGCCCCTTAATTTTAAGCATGCAGAAGAAGGTATGAATTGAACACATCGGTCTGCCATTCCTGACACTCTTTCCATTCTAGTTGAAATGCACCTGCCCCGAGCTCCCAATTCATAGAAGCAAGTAAGTTTTCCTCTGAACAGGTGCTTGTAACAAAACTTGAAAGCTGACCCAAGAGTGGTCCTTCCATGGTTTGTCCAGCAACTCGGGAGGTGGCCCAATTAACAGCAATTAATTACCTGCCAATTACTTGGTTTCCTCTGGAATTTTGAGTGAAAAAATATAGCCATTCTCAAAGAAAAGGGAAACAGAGAGGATGAGCAATGAACGGCAAAACTGCTGTCAGAGTGACCCTCTGAGCCTGAAGGGAGACAAAAAATGAGAGTGGCCCTCCCTTCCTTATGACCCATCAGTAGTTTTCCATTTATTTATTTATTTTTGAAATTGGCATCAGCCTTATATTTTATTTGTTTTTGATAGACAGAAAGAGACAGAGCATAAGTGGGGAGGGGCAGAGAGAGAGGGAGACACAGAATCCGAGGCAGGCTCCAGGCTCCGAGCTGTCAGCACAGAGCCCGACACCGGGCTCAAACTTGAGGAGTGTGAGATCATGACCTGAGCCAAAGTCAGACGCTCAACCGACTGAGCCACCCAGGCGCCCCAGTAGTTTCCCTTTGAAACTCACACGTTATTCTCCTGCCGCAAGTCTCCCAACATCTGCCGTTTGCCCGTCTCTCAATTCTCATCTCTGTCTCTTCTGACAGTTGCTCCCCACTCCCTGATCACACTGAATTTTCTATTGTCTTTGTTCCTGTCTTGGAATACTGTGCTTCCTATTCCTTTTATCTAGGATTAACCCCCTTGTGTGGTTGGCCCCTTCTCATTAGTCAAATCTCCATTTAAAATAGTACTTGTCCCTGGGGCGCCTGGGTGGCTCAGTCGGTTAAGGGGCCGTGTCAAGCCCCCTGTCGGGCTCTGTGCTGACAGCTCAGAGCCTGGAGTCTGCTTTGGATTCTGTGTCTCCCTCTCTCTCTGTTCCTCTCTCCCTCCTGCTCTGTCTCTCAAAATAAATAAAAATGTTATAAATAAATAAATAAAATAGTACTTGTCCCCTTAGCATCCAATCTACAATACGATTCTTCTCGTCATTCTCTACCCACTGGCTGGTTTCATTCCTTCCTTGTATCCCCCTTCTCTGTGATTAGCTTATTTCCTGTTTCATGATCTACTTCCTGCCACCAGAATATCCTTCCATGAGAGAAGAGGAGACGTCAAGCATCTTCTGTAGTGCTGCACGTGCATTGACTGAAATGGTGAATGGCAGAATTGTTTCTCAATTATCCATCAAATCAACAGAGTAAAATGACAATAAGTGAGTGAGACCCTAAAACCGCCATATGTGTGTTGGGTTTCTGGCTGCAGTTTCAGGCCACGTGTCTTCTAATAGTCATGCCCATTTTCTTTAAAATGACCTGTACGGCTGGTCCTCGCCCCCAGAGAGTATCAGGCACGTGGGCCTGAGTGTGACTTTGGGCAGCAGGTGGTCACCTGTGGTCAGACCCTCCCCCCCAATAGGGCAAGTTCCACCGCTTGTGTTCGCCCAAATCCCTGTTCTGTTTTCAGTTCACTCCATACCTGGCAGCAGAGAGCCCTCCTGCTTTGCGGTCCACGTCCGCACCAGATCCAGCTTCCCGAAGCCCAGCCGGGGCGCAACTCGCCAAGCAGTTGGGAGAGGACTTCAGAACAATTTTGCTCCGTCCCATTAAAACACTTACCAGATGCAATTGTGTCAGAGGTAACAGAATGCTTGTGTGCATGGAAATGCTGGAGTGAAGCAACGCTATGTTCACTGAGTTTCAGGGATCCATTCCACTGGTTCCCTACTCGGAGAAGAGACAACTTTTGGGTCTCCCTGGGTAACTGGAGGAGATGAAGGCAACACGGGGCTGGCTGGACGAGGGTGCTGGCAAATACAAACAGAATGGCGAAGACAGAAATGAGGCTGGAAAGGGAAGGAACATGTGATAAGGACCCAGTTGTCATCTGAATCTCAGGGATGGGGGCAAAGATGTTTCAGTGATGATGCCACATTTCCAGCTTGAGTGACTGGCCCTTTAGAACCCCTGGCAGATAGACAAGTAGGGAGGGGTTAAATCACAAAAGCTGTTAATGGAGCCAATCACTTGAGAAGTAAAACAAATAGCCACATATATACTTGGTCTACATCGTAATTAATGTGGGAGTGATCAGAGATGAAACAATAGGTTGGATAATGTTGCCTGTTGCCTTTTGGGACCCTCTCAGAGTTCCATGAACTTGCCTGACACTCCCACACTGCAGCTTGTATTTTAACCCAGAATCCTTGGGCTAGATTACCAGGGGAAAAAAAAAGCCAAGAAATGAGATGGAAGAGTCATGCTCAATGAGTTTTAAGAAGCCGAACAAGTACAATGCCATGGAAACCAAAATGTGTAAGAACTTCAAGAAGGAGGGAGTGGAACATAGTTCCACTGTTTAAGATTTAAAGACCCAAGAGATTTCAAAAAGTAGAACTGAGAAAAAGGTGATTGCATTTGTCATTAAATTGCCAGAGACTCAATAATTAAAATCGCTATTATTGCACAAGACCTGACTGCATCTTTTTTGTTTCATTCTAGGGGATGGTATAATTCATATTTGGGGGAAAGCTCTATATTTATTTTTTAAGTTTATTTATTTGTTTTGAGAGGGAGAGAGAGAGAGAATCCCAAGCAGGCTCTGCACTGTCAGCATAAAGCCCGACATGGGGCTTGAACTTATGAACCAAGAGATTGTGACTTGAACCAGGATCAAGAGTTGGACACCTAACCTACTGAGCCATCCAGGTGCCCCAGAAAGCTCTGTATTTAAAGAATTACCTCAATAATCTTTTTGCGCATACATCTGCACAGAGAGCCTCTCCACCTTTAGAAGAGGGTTTGAAAAACAAAGAATGAAATTGCTCTACAGAGAAGGTGAAAAAGATATTATAGAAAGAGAAGACAAAGGGCAGAGGGATAAAAGGAATAATGAAGCATGCGAGAATGAGCCGGGAAGCAAGGAAGGAAGACCCCCGGTGCCAAGGGAAGGGTCCTGAGAAAAGAGGAAGCTCACCTCTTATTATCAGAAATGACTACTGGGAAGCTAATATCTAATATTAAATTTAAATTGAGGTCCATATGGTACTATACTTAGAATTGCCCACGATTACTGCCAACCTTGGAAAAAGTCTGCCATGCACGAGTTATTTTTTCGAGTTATTCACGAAAAATGGAGAAACCAGGGTGGTGTTCACCTCAGAGGAGAGTGGGCCAGCAAGAGAAAATGAATCCCCAGGGATGACAAGCGACATTTAAGAAGCAAACTGCTCAGTAGGCCAATCAAGATTTCTATTCCCCCTGAAATCTGCAGGAACACCAAAGGATAGTCTCATCCTGGTATGGGGCGGAGTCGCAAGTTGCCATATTTGGATATTAAAAGGAAGGGTGGTCTACAGAGTCTAGAGAAGCAGGTGACCCCTTGGGCTCCAAGAGTTTCACCATTTGTGTTTTTGTTTTCGTAACCCATACTGGCAACAGACGCCTGTCCTGACCCAAAAGCAAGCACTCAGGGCTTACTTAGTGTCATTGAAGGGATTGTGTGCGACTCCCCTCTGCTGAAAATGATCTCCCTACACTTCCTGAATGTCATAAATTACATATTAATTCGGGGCTCTCAATTATTCCACCTTAGTGTAAAAATGATGGTCCTTCCTTTTAAATGCTATCTGAGATTATCTGAAAATTTCGAAACCAGTCAAGTGGGGAGAGAGAAGAGAAGCCTGGACGTCCCAGCCTTGCCCAAGGCAGGGAGAAGGTTTTCCAGACCCTCAAATGGCACTCATGCCCAGCGTTTGAGAAGTAATGGGGTGGAGCAAGGGGAGGCAAAAGTGATGGCACCCCAAATAATTCCACTTATTCAGAATCTCTGCTTAGAGCCAGATTGGTCTCCAATCGTCTATTTCCTCTCTCTCTCTCTCTCTCTCTCTCTCTCTCTCTCTTTTTGGTGCCATTTCTGCTGCTCCACCCTTTAGGGTTCCATTCTCCCAAGACATCTTCAATTACTTGTTTTAGCCACCCTTCCCCCCACTTTTTCCTTTCTCTATATGTGGAAACAAGCAGCAAAAGGGGTGACACTTAAGCCATAGGAAAAGGAGGTGAGACAAAGATCGTGAGTCATCAGCCACTCGGCATTGTGACACCTCAGTCCTAGAAACTGAGTCCATTTGGCCTGGATTTCAACTCACGCCTCTGCTTGGTTCATAGGCAATCTGTCCATGTAGAGCCAATACCAGTAACTGCCACAGAGGACGGGCTTTGAGACTCATCCAAGGAGACGGCCACCTTGTCTTCTGAGTTTAGTTTCTCACCTCAACTGTTTATTCGTTCTTAATAAAGACTGTAGGATTAGAAGAGCAATCGCTTACTCTCTCCCGAAGCATCTCTTTCAGCTACAGCAGTAAGTCGGAGGCCTTGTCTCGAGTTTTGATGATTATTAACATCTCTCTAATCTTCTGTGTTGTTCTGAATCCTCTCTGTGGAGAAAAAGAGGTTAAAAAAAATGTAAGCAATGACAAAGCTTCTGCTTAGAACAGGTGTGAGCGATTCACAACCCACAGCCCCAATCTGCTCTGTCGTCTCTTTTTATAAAGTTTAATTGGAACACGGCAATGCTTACCCATTGACGCACCGTGTATGGCTGATTTCACACCACAACAGCAGAATCGAGTAGTTGCAAAAGAGATCATGTGGTCTTTAAAATCAAAAATATTTACTATCTAGCCCTTTCTACAAAAAGCTTCCCAGCTCACGACTGAAGCCTCACCTTTTCCCGTACAGACCTCCTTGAATTTGTACAGTTCTTTACCATCAATCATGCTTAACCGGTTTACTGGTACAAGAATATGCATAGCGTGGGGACTAGCTGAAGCATGAATTAAAAATAAATATTCAGAGTGTAAACTTGAATGTACCAAAGGCAGCATGGCGATTCTCTAAATTCCCTTTGGCCATTTTGAACAGGGCACAGGGCTTCCAAAAATCTACAGATCTTCAGTGGAGTATGTTGCAAACATTACATAAGCTCTTCAAAGGTGTTCAGCTATTATTTCGCCAGCTCGAAGCAACACATCATTATCATGAGAAAGGATTATGATTTACGAAATGGTGCAGCAAAGCAAAAGGTGTAAGTCACATCTGCACCACGAGAGGTATTTATAACACAACCGTTAGCAGCAACCCCCCCCAAATTTCAAAACCCTTTAAACCACTTTAGCTTAGAGTGCATTTCAAATGCATTTTCAACCAAAGACTGACATCCGCAAGCACTTTAAAAAAAACATGTAAGTTAGAAAATAAATTCAAACTCTTTAAAATTTTTTAACTGAAGTGTAGTTGACATACATTGTTTTATGACCTAGTGGCTTGTGACGTAGGTATATGATGTAGTGATTCAACAATTCTATACATTGCAGAATACTCAACACCTGTCACCATACAAGTTATTACAATATTATTGACTATTCCCTATGCTGTGTGCTTTTCATCCCTGGGACTTATTTTTTTTTATGACTTATTTATTTACAAGCTCTTAAAATTAGTATTAATACAGCATCTTAATATCTGTAATCATACTTGGGAGTGTCAGACTTGCCCACTCACTGCATATTTTCTATAAACAGTTCCTTGACTACAATCTTTGAAACCTTCCCACAAAGTAGAAAAGAACTATATTCTTAAAAATAGCATTCTTCTTTTATAGAAAATGTCAATGTTGTAAGTTCTACATTTTACAAAACAGAAATGTGGTTGGAATAGTTTGAGCATGAAATCAATAAAATTTGGAAAATATTTTCAAATTCCAATGGACAGAATTATCTGAGGTTTTCAGGCCTGCTAATCTGATTTTTTTTTTTTTTTAGTAAGCTTCATGCCCAGCACAGAGCCAAAGGTGGAGCCCAATGTGGGGCTTGAACTCACAATCTTCAGATCAAGACCTGAGCTGAGATCAAGAGTCAGACTCTTAACCAACTGAGCCATCCAGGCACTCCCATCTGAAATTTTAATACCAAGACTTTACGGTATCTGGCTTAATTCCTTAAGTATTTTTTTTTTTTTACCTGTTTCTAAAGGCTATTGCAAACCAACACTAATGTGTGATGTAGCCCATTTTTGTGCAATTTTTTCACTCATTATATGATATAACAAACATATTGTCAGGCTTAAACATCCAGAATTGCTTAAAATTCAAACAAACCAATTTAAAAATAATTTACAAACATGAATCTAAGTTAGAGAATGTTCAACTTTTAGTTCGATGTGGCTCAGACCTAAATTTAGCAAACTATAAAACAGCATTTCTCACCGGTTCCAAAGATGACCTAGTCCAAGGTTGGCTATCCTTCCAAGGTGATATGCCAAATCTTAAAGTGTTCACTCTTTACTTTAGAAGAGTCTTATTATTATGGCTTGAGGGAGATTTTCTGTGTTTAAAAACTTCTCTTTTTTTACTAAAGTTTTTAAATTACTTATTTTTGAGAGAAATACAGAGGTGAGGGGAAAAGGGGCAGAGAGAGAGGGAGACACAGAATCTGAAACAGGCTCCAGGCTCTGAGCTGTCAGCACAAAGCCCGACACGGGGCTTGAACCCACAAACCACGAGATCATGACCTGAGTCAAAGCCAGGTGCTTAACGGACTGAGCCACCCAGGCACTCCTGTGTTTACGAACTTCTTAAACACAAAGCAGTGATGGCCCCCTAATTCTGGTGTTCATTTACAAGCTTGCTGTTCATTTACAAAGTCCTTCTACACATATTATCTCATTCATTCTGGAGACAAGAGTATTGTTACTACCTATTTGACACAGATGTGGAACATGAGTTCAAAAGGCTAAGTTCTAGGTCACACAGCCAGAAGGATACAGAGTTAGGGTTCAAAGCCACATCTTTTAACTCCAAGATCCAATGTTGCAAAAAGGAGAAAAGATAGTTGGGTCTGGACAGGCATCAGGAGTCAAAGCAGCTGAAGCAGGCAAGCTGTGTTTGTCTCCAGTAAAGTCCGGGTATTGAAACAGTTGGACCTGTTGTCAAGTGAGGTTACAAAGTAGATTCACAGCGAGGAAGAAAGACAAACATCACAACAATATAAATAGCAGTAAATGTGAAACAGAAGACTCAATAAATAATAGAGAATCAGAGACCCTCAGAAAAGGAGTAGCAAAAAACAAAGTGGGTGACCAAAAGTCCTGTAAAAAAGTCAGCACTCAGAAAATTACAGGACACACACACACACACACACACACACACACACGGGAGAAGGTCATGTGATTGCCAGCCATCTCTGCAAGGTAGGGAGAGGCACGGAAAGATTTTCCCTTATAGGTTTCAGAGAGAGTTTGATCCTGCTGACCCCTAGATTCCACACTTCTTGGCTCCTGAACTGTAAGATAATAAATTTCTTTGTTTTAAGCAAGCAAGCAAACAAACAACAAATAAATAAAAAAAACAGAATTGGGAGAACCAGGGAAAGCAGCAGCAAAAGAGATTCTTCTACTTATTTGTCAAGCCTTCTATTTTAATCTTATTTTATTTTATTTTATTTTATTTTATTTTATTTTATTTTATGTCAGGCACACCACTAGGTACTGAGAATGCATTAACAAAATACTACCTTGGCTCTCTACGATTTCATAATATTGTAGGAAAGATAGAATGATGAGCAAGCGATCACCATACAAGTGATAAATCACAGAGGGAAAGCCATATACAGAGTCCTGTGCAAGTACAGAGAAGAAATGATACAAGGACACAATGACAAGAGATAATCCTGGTAACTGCTTCACAGCCAGAAGCTTTCACCTCGTTCTGCGAACATGGAGGTGGCGGCCAGACTGAAGTTTGTAGAGCGACATGGTTGAGAACTCTTGGCTGCTTTATGGATGAGGAAGGCCCATAGGCTCCTAGTCATACCAACGTTTAACAGCAATCAATCACTAACCAGCTGGGACAGAATAAGTGAGGAAAACACAAAGGTGAGGTTGGGAAATCACGTTGCCAGGAGGGAGGAATGAAGGAGGTCAGATCAATGATGCAAGAAAGTCCCAAAGATGAATTCCCACCACTTCACAATTTTGCACCAGATCAATTCTGGTGCTAATTAACTAGGGGGATCATACAATACATTGACTACACTGGCTATTGAGAGTCAACGGAAGATCTGTCAATGATTATCCATGGCAATGGGGACAAATAGTTATATTATATCAGATCTGTGGGAATGTGACCAGGCCATCTTTCTAAACCTCCATTCAAATGGGATAGTAATCTCTACCTGAGAGTTGAGAGCTTTGAATTAAACAACGGAAAAGAAAGGTATGTGAAATTCCTGGTTTGCTGTAGGCAACATATATTATTGATAAATCACTAATTAAAAAAAAAAAAATCTAGGGTCTCTCCCAACTCCAACTTGGATGCTACGCCATCAACACTCATTTGCTAGTCAAAAGCAGAGACCACAAGAGCAATTAGGACCTTTAGAAGTTCGGGAAAGGACTTGAGGACTCTGCTGGGTGAGACCATTCTTCATACGCTTCTGCCTGCCAAGGAGGCTGAAACATACCGTCGGTTTCTGAAACACAGAACACTGCAGGCTCTGCCTTGGAAACGGAGGTCATCCTAAGGGAGGCATCTCAGACACAAAGCCAGACAACAGCAGACACACAGGGGAATAGCTTTATGTTCGAATGAAACACCAAGCAATTTATAAGTTCTTAGGTCTGAACATCACAGACAATCCCTTTTTCCACGTCATCTTTTCCTTCGTCTGTGCTTAGTGTTTATAACGGCTATCCAGACACAGGAGATCAACTGTTCCAAATGACCAGATCTCATGTTTGCTTCTCTTTCATTTTACCAGAGCCGCCAAGTAAGTGCTGCAAAATTATACCAATAAGCAGGCAGAGAGTTCAGCAAAGCCAGGGAAAAAACATTATCTTCACTTTTGTAGGTGACCATCAGGTACCTGGGAGGCCTTCTACAGATGACTAGAAAATGCATCCACACCTCTTTTTTGATCTGATTTATGATTTGCATAGTTCATTTTACCATATGGCTCAAGGTTGAAGGCACAGTGTTGGGGAGTAGACAACAATTAGTGATTGTCTCAATCTATGGTGGTCCTAAAACCCCACACTTGCGGCCCAGATGTATCTACAGTGATGTGTATAGGGCTTTTCTCATTGTGTATGCATGACTATTATAGTTTCTGCTACTGAGGATCTCTTGACCTTGACCGTGAATCTCTTTACCGCACAGTGTCTCTGCTTTGCTTCTGCCTAATGAAAACAACATTTTTTTCTGCACTCTAGAACAGGTGCTATAAAGAAGACAGACTTTAAAAACAAAATAAGGGGACTGGGTGGCTCAGCCGGTTAAGTGTCTGACCCTTGATTTCAGCTCAGCTCATGATCTCACGGTTCATGAGTTCGAGCCCTGCACCGGGATCCCCGCAGACTGCATGGAGCCTGCTTGGGATTCTCTCTCTCTCTCTCTCTCTCTCTCTCTCTCTCTCTCTCTCTCTC